AAATACACATGGTTCGTTATTTGTAAAGCGAAGCTCTTGTCTCATCTCAGCCTCCTAACATCCTTGTGAGGCAACCTTACATCAGTTTCCCATTACAAAAATGGCAAAAAGGAAGCACAAAGGCAGAGCCAGCCTGGGTTCCGGGTCATTGGATGGGAAACCTATGGAAAGCTCTCTGTCTGAGCCTGCTGCCTCCTTTCCAAGCCCACTCCTTTGTGTACCCCAAGTACATGGTGTATGCTGTGTGCAGCCCTGTGATTAAATCTTCTAACTGCAGCACAGACCGGGAGGGCAGCCCCCACCCCTGCAAAAATCCAATAGAGGTCTCTTCTATTGTACAGACTCTGGAGCTTCCAGACCATCTTAATGACCACTGGAGGTGACCAGGTCATCTGAGCTCCTTCCAACCCACCAGATTACCAAGGTTACCACAGTTTTCACTTTTTCCTATTGGATTTTAGTAGCTCCTGTCATATTGCTGGTAACAGACAAATCCCAATGGACTAATAAATGTCATTGTTGGGTGGTGGAGGATGGGGGTTTGATAAGATCTGCTGAACAAAAAATCCCCAAACAAGTCGGAATTTGTCAACTAGTTAAGAGAATGATTAACGGTCATTAGAAAAATAGTACATCTGGGCAAAAATGATCAACCCAAGTTCACTCCTATCTCTCTTTTTTTTTCTTCTAATGCAGCCCAAAACAGTATTCATTCAGCCATCTGACACAACTTAAACAACTATTTGTGTGGCTCACACCCATAATCCCAACACCTTGGGAGGCCAAAGCAGGTGGAGTGGACTGCTTGAGCCCAGGATTTCTAGACCAGCCTGGGTAATATGGCAAAATCCTGTCTCTACAAAAAAAGCACAAAAATTAGCTAGGCACAGTGGCACGTGCAGCCCCAGCTACTGGGGAAGCTGAGGTGGGAGGATCACTTGAGCCTGGAGGTTGATGCTACACTTGAGCCTGAGCAACAGATTGAGGCCCTGTCTCAAGAAAAACAAACAAACAAAACCAACAAAAACGACCATTTCCACACTGAGGACGCCCACACACAAAACCGGGCGCTAACTGAAGAGTGTGTCTGTTCCCCTGAAGCTGCCTGTGGGAGGTGGAATGAGACAATCGGGCACTGTGTGGCGGGCTCGCCACCCGACCACCTGGCGCCTCTTCACAACAGGTGAAAGCGGCTCAGAGTCCCTCTCAAGTGTTAGCTGGGGCATCTTCTGAAGATCAAAAAGTGATGCAGCTGCTGATCTGCCCAGCCGCAGAACCAGGCTCTCTGGCACTGGTGAAAAGGCCTCTGAGAACAAAGGGGACCCTGTGTACCTGGGTCGGCCACAGGCAGGTGGAAGGAGGGGACAGGTGATTTGGTTTCTATGATGCCTGACCCCAGCGGGGTGAGGGGGTGGTGGTCGCTCTGCGTGGCACCTTCTCTCCTGAAAAGCCTGAAATCGACCTGCTCATAGATGCCTTCCATAGGTCCGGGACACCCAGTTTCCTTTCCGGCCCCTCGACTGTTCTTGCTGTTTGCTGCTTGCACTGACAGCGAATTGTCACACTTCACTGCGTGATCCTGAGAGGTGGCTGCAGAATGACACACTACCTTCAGCCCTGAAGAATAACCCCCAGGTCTCTCTGCAGTGGAGGCCACTAAGCCCTGGGCCTAACCTAGGCCTACGCAGGGGCACAGGCTGGCAGTTAAGGGGCACAGGCTGACAGTTCACGCCCAAGCCGGCCTTAGGGCTTGTTCCTCTCTGATTTCACTGGCCTGGGCTCTTCCCTTGACCCCTGTGGCCAGGTCCTCTCGTTGTGCTGTCTTGACCCCCACTGCATCCCCCTTTGTCTCCTTCTGTATTTTTCGACCTGGCAATTTCCAGCCTGCCTTCTGAGAAGCCCTCCCTGACTCGCAGCACGGGTTACAGCCTTGTTCTGCTGCTCCCGTAGCTCCCCAGATTCCTCTAATCATCATATCCATCAAGCTTCGCTGCAATCACACGTTTCATTGTTGGACCATCCTGCTCGACTGTAAGTACTGAGGGCAGAGAGACGACCTCAATCTTGTTTCCTACCTCCCACTAGTGCCGTGCTCAGCACCTCATCCCCACAGTGCCCACCAAATACTTCTCAATTAAATTAAAACCATCCCTGCTCCAAAACATCATGGGGTCTAGCCATAGACACAGTTCCTTTTACCCAGATTCACAGCCAACAGGAGCCCCCTGGCTGGACTGGCTGCACTGAAGGAGGCAGGAAGAGGAGGGTCCTTCACTGGTCCTGAGCCGTATTTCCTAAGACCTCACTGTTTCTCTGGTGATTCTCTAGAGGCGAGGGTACAAGCCCTACAGTGCCGCTGCCCAGGGCCACTGCCACCACCTCCATCACACCTCATCCCCAGCTCGCTCTGGCTGTCAACCTCGAGCCCCAGGCACATTATGGGCACAGCCCACATCCACCAGCCAACTGCTATGGTCCCCAGTGAAGCTCAGCTTCATCCTGAGCAAATTTGAAGAGGCCTATTTTTATTTCCTAGCTTTCAATCTCAGATGCAAGGGAGGTGTGAGGTAGTGGAAAGAGCACAGGCTCTGTTCCAAAGCCTGGAGTCACAGCACATCATGCCTCCCAGCTGTATGACCTCAGACACATGACTTCCTCAGAACCTCAATTTTCCTGCCTGTAACTTGAGCATAACAATGCCCACGTCACATGGGGACTGTGATGCCTGGGGGACAGAACATAAGAAAGCATCCATACAGAGATTAGAATCTAGGACATTTTCAACAAAGGTTTGTTTCACTTCATGCACCGGGGCCACTGCCCTTCCCTTCTGACCAGGGCTGAGCCCCCTTCAAGCTCTCTTGAGGAAGACCATCCAATGCTGAGACTTCACCTGTCTCATGGTATCTATTCTCCCCTCTTTTCTTGGTAATGGAACCTCTGATTTTTAAATGGTGCGTGGCTGCCGAAAATAAAACTACATTTCCTGGTGTTGCTTGCAGACAAGTGCTCCTATGTAACTGGGACCTGGCTGGTGAGGTGTGGGTGGAAGCGCCACCTGTGACTTCTGGGAGGGGCATGCTCGCTTTCCTCCCTGCCACCCTCAAGGTCGGAATAAGGCATGGCAGTGGGAGCCTGAGCGGCCATTCACTATGAGGTGGAAGCAAGGGCAGAGGCTGCAGAAGAAGAAAGCGGGTGCCTGAGTCCTTGAGCTCTAGGGAACTAGGCTGGGATGGATCCTCTCCATGTGGACTTCATCTGTGTGACAGAGAAATTACCTTACATCCTTCTTTAGCCACTGTTGTTTTGAGTTTTCTTTCACTCCCAGACAAACCTCATTCTGATGGATTACACTCCTTTGACCAATGTTCCTCCCTGGGTAATTATCAGAAGTTCACTGCAGGCCTTCAGCAAGCTTCCAGGGAGCCCCCAGCAGAATGCCCCTATGCACCTCTGAAGGTGGAAACATAGGCCTCCAAGGGCTGCATCTTCCAGGGAGCCTGCTGACCATCTTGGCACTGTGGCCTCAGTTAGGTCCAGAGGAGAAGGAAGGGGACTGAGTTACTAAGAATCTATTACATAGCAGCTGTTCTTACTTATATAACTGGAGCCGGTAAAGGACAAGATAAACTTCAGAAAACGTTAAGGAACTGCATCAGCCTTGCTGCTTTGACATCAGCTGTGGTCCTTATCTGTCTGGTGACAGTCTCAGGAAGCCACTTACTCTTTTGTACTTGCATCCATGTGTACTGAATTTGGGTCTTAAGAAAATCAAAGAGGAGTTAGAAGAGATCTAGACAGTGCCACTCAAAGTGTGGTCCACAGACAAGCTGTCTGACCTCACATTGTTAGTGAGATAAACAGCTTGTGCCAGAATGTAGATCAACCGCATCACTAAGCACACTGTTTCTCAGCTGACATTGTTTTTTCCACAGCAAGACTTTCTCAATGAAGGAAGCAATGGATTGATGTCCATTCTAGCTAAGCTCCTTGTCTGGCTTCAGACTGCACTCTGAATAGTGCTGCTTTAGAATATGGTTGCCCTGTTATGGAGCTTTACAAAAACATATACTAGGTCCCACCCCAAACCACGTGAATCAGAATCTCTGAGGCTGGGGCCCAGATAACTGCATTTTAATAAAGCACCAAAGCCGATTCTGAGGAATAGCCCAGCTGAAGAATGACTATGTGGATATGAAAAAACGATGGAGGAGAGAATCTTGTCTTTTCAGGACCAAGGCATGTGAACTATGAGTTTGCTTTAAATGTACACTGGCTCTGTGGGGCATAACACATTTTTTTTTTTTTTTTTTTTTTTGAGACGGAGTCTTGCTCTGTCACCCAGGCTAGAGGGCAGTGGCATGATCTTGGCTCACTGCAACTTCCACCTCCCAGGTTCAAGCAATTATCCTGCCTCAGCCTCCCGAGCAGCTGAGACTACAGATGCATGCCACCATGCCCAGCTAATTTTTGTATTTTTAGTAGAGAGAGGGTTTCACCATGTTGGTCAGGCTGGTCTCGAACTCCTGACCTCATGATCTACCCACCTCAGCCTACCAAAGTGCTGGGATTACAGGCATGAGCCACAGCGCCCGGCCGCATAACACATTTTTAATAGAGTCTTTCCTGGGTTCTTCTTTATCACCTACTGGTTTGATAGGGGTTGGCAAATTACCTTGGATAAAATTTATACCTGGAGACATCTGGTAACATTCTTACTATTGGCTTTTGTTCATATTGCAGTTTTTCCTAGAGCTTTCAGTCCTTACTGAATTTATTCTCTCGTGAAACACAAACCCAGCTTCTTTAAAACCAATACAAAAGAGGTAAAAGAACTTCCCACTTTCCCCCATGACAGAGCCCCTAACACCATCACTGCTGTCATCAGACACCTCTGGCTGAAGGAGGGGTTTGGTGCCTACAGAAACAGGCTAATGGTTCCAAAATGGTCTTCTGTGTGTGACTCCAAGGTGATGGAACCCACACCCACTGTCCCTTACCTGCAGTTCCCAGGCTCAGCAGCACAGCCACCCAGAGGACCCAGAAGAAAATGAGGATGGCAAATGTCCACAGTGGCTGGAACAGCAGGAAGGGAGCACTGCTGATGGCTTTATTTGTGATTTGGAAAAGCTCAACTGTCAATTTTATTCTCTTTCTGAGAACAAAAATCAAGACGAGCAGGACTGCCTGGTGAGAAAGGGGTTTGAGTAAATTACTTTCAAATAATGGAGAACTGGGTAGAGCTTAAAGCAAGCCCTATTATTATTATGACATCTCAGCAAACAGCTCTTTTAAGATAGTTACTCACTACTTTGTTATAATTTTACAGGTGCATTCGCAAACACTAATTGAGCATCTAGTAAGTGCTGGCCCCTGGAATAGATCTTAATAGATATAATAGTGAACAAGACACAGTCCCTCCATAAAAGGCCTTGTAGTCTGGTCAGAGAAAAATATAAAATGAGAATAAGGTCTTCTAATGTCAAGGAACTGTCTTATATCCTCCCCTCCACATCCCACAGAACCCAAGATATTACAAAAGGCAAGCGAATATGAGTATGAGGCAAAAAGACTCAAAGCCACCTTCTGTGCCTTCTTCTAGCGTTCCCTCCCTGCATATAAACATTTACAAATCTCATATTAATGAAACAAACCATTCTGCACTCCTCCAACCCCATCCAGCCACTGCCATCTCTTACTCCTTTCATGGCCGAGCTTCTTGGCTTGTCTACACCCATCATCTGTACTTCCACACTCCAACTCATTCTTCAACCACTCGCAAACATCCAGACCCCAACATACTTTTGAAATGGCTCTCCCTGAAGTCACTTCATGTGACCTCCTGAGTGTTAAATGCCATAGAAACATTCCAGGTCTTGCTTGACTTCAGCATGGCATCAGATCCCTTGTCCACTCCTCTTTTCTCAAAACGTTTTCCTCCCTTGGCTTCCATGATCTTTCCTTTAGCTCTCCTACTTCTTTAATTGCTGCTTCTTGAGATCTTCTAGGGGTATCTCCTATTCCTCTGTGCTTTTAGCATCCTTCCTAGATGCTGACAACCTCCAAATAAAAACCTCCAGCCTCACTTTTCTCTAGGTGCTGGAAGAATAAGCACATCAGTTATTGACAAGGCCATGGATGTCCTACAGTATGTCAAACTCAGTTTATCCTGAATCAAATTCATTATCTTCACACTAGAACCTCCTCTTCCCCCTGTATTCTTTATCTCCACTGGCCCTAATTTTTCTGGACTCTCCAAGAGTAAGTTAGGTTCCCCTCTTGTGTGCTCCCACTTTATTCCACACTTACCCTATTTACTATTTAACATATTCTATAAATGTTTTCTCATCTGAATCTCCCATTAGATTAGGCTCCTAGAGAGCAGGGCCTTTCTTATTGTCAAGGACTGGCAAAGTACCCAGCACAATCCCAATTACCTCTGGTTCAGTTTCCTCAATACCTCTCATGCTATCCTTTCCTCTCTATTTTCACTGCTGAGGCCACAGCTTGAGTCTCAGCCTCTTTCTTCTAGACCCCAATAACCTCATTAGCTTTCTGCATTTAACCTCCCTGACCCCGCCCGCCCCCCAACTCAATCCCTCCTCCACTCCACAGCGAAGGAGACCTTTGGAAAGTGCAAAGACAAAAGACGGTATTTCCCGGCTCAAAATCCATCCACGGCACCCCATTGCCTCTGGAGAAAGAACAAATCTATCATCATCGCAGATCAGGACCTTCCTGACATGACCCTCCCTGCACCTGCATCTCAGGCTTCCATCAAGGGAACTTCCTGCAAGTCACTCCCCTGCCCATGTGTCCTCATGTATGCTGTGCCCTTGGCCTGAGATGCTCTTTCTCTTCCAGCTGTGCTGGAGCATTTCTGCCCTCAACAGTCAAGTGGAGGAAAGACAGTCAGATGACAGTGGGATAAACTGTGCAGAAGCTGCTCCAGGATCTGGGAGCACAGCCTCCTGACCACACAGGGAGGGGTGTCAGGAGAGGCCCCACAAGACACCTAGAGGAGACCCTTCAGTTGTAAAGGCTGAGGAGGAACTCCCATCTGGGCTTTTCTGAGGATGAGTGAACTAGCTCATCCAGTTCTTACCGGGAATTGGTAAGAACTCATGACAAATGAACAGGAGGTAAGCTGGGACTCAATTCTGCCTTCTGGAGCAGCCCCTGTGCAGAACTCATGGACACAGGTGAAAATAGCCTCTCTGCTCACACGGCCTCCCCTCTCCCTAACCTTGCCCTGGCCCTGAGAGCTGGGTGGCATAAATGGTGCAGTGTGTAAACCCAAAGGGAGCCCTGTGGAGGATAGACGGAGGAACCGGACCCTTCCCAGCTCCCAGGCCAGCTCCTCTTCCCCCATGCCCAGCCTGGGGAATGCGGAAGCCCTTTCATCTCTAGCCTCCTTTGCAGACTCTGTTGAGTGTCCAGCCTGGTCCCCGCCTGAGGCAAGAGCAACCAAGTGCTTTACTTTATTATACCCTTGCTCCTTGGCACATTTTATGTGAAGATCACAAACCCAAAACCTCACCGTGGAAAGGAGACAATGTGAAAACTACCAAATATGGGAACAGAAGGATTTCCTATGAGAGAATTTTGTTGGTGTGAGAATCTGCATTTGCTGCAAGATTCAATGGGCTTGTGGAAACCCCTGGCTCTGCAGCTGTTCCACAGAACAGTCAGTAACCAACACACCAGCAAGAACAACTCTGGGTGACCTGAAGCCAGTGCAGGGCCTGCCCCAGGGCCTTGTGATTGTAGCCTTCCTAATGGCCCCTGGAGAGGGTCCTGAATGACATCTGGTTGCCAACCACTCACCGCCAATAACTAATACCTGCTCCCTCAATATTCTAAGTTGGCCTGTTTTCAACTAGAGAGTTCACTGAGGAGGCAGCAGTTTCTTTGAACACCAAAATAACCCAGTGGCCAGTGGGTTTGGAAACAAAGGGCTCTGTGTGCTAGAGGGCAGTGGGAGCTGAGCATACACTGGCAAAAGGAAACTGCTCCTCACAAACAGGGAATGGGAACCGCTGTAAGCCTGCCTCCGCCCATCCACCATGCCCACCTTGTAGCCCCTCAGGACTGAGAACAGTGCAACAACAGGGATAACACAGCAGTCTCTGGGAGGTGGCAGAAATGACTTGGGAAGAAGAACTAAAACCTTTTTTTTCTTATTTTTGGAAGGTTTTGATTTATTCCTACACAGTTATCTCAAATCCAAAGAAGGCACATTCTGAATCAAAAGAAAAACAAATTCTAGTTGTTTTTGGCTAGAATTCAATGATTTGGATTTCAGAGTTCTGGCTGGCTACCTGACCTACTGCTGGAAGAGCATTTCTTACCGTGATGCCTGTAGATACGATAGCAAACCCCAGCACACACTTCATATTTTCCCTTTCTGTGTCCAATTCTATGCTGAGGTCATTGGTATAGTCATAATACAGCCACCATAAGACACCGCAGACAACTAGAAAAGAGAACAGTAGCAGAGCTCAGGGCACGCGCCATGAGATAACCTTTCCCCAGCACACAGAATCATTCAGGGAAGTCCAGCCACTGCCCACTGGCTGTGTGGCGCTGCTCTGGCACTGGGTCCCAAATACTCAGACCCAACAGGCAACTGCTGCCCTCTGAAGAAGCTGGGCAGAGCCAGGGCAACCCATAGAGGACCCACAAGTTCTGGGATGATGCTTGTTTTGGGAGACCCAGGATGGTGACCCCAGAACACAGGCGCCTAACCCACAGGTTGGGTCTGGACGCGAGCAGGAGGAAAATCCCATGGACAGGATGGTGAGAGGGACAAGGCTAGAGCTCACTGTCTAAATGTTTTAAGCAAGCTCTGCTGGTGATATCTCCTGTGGGAGCCTGGATGTTGGCTGCTCACCCACAAAACCGGGCGAATTTACATGGCCTGTGGGAATCACGGAAGTCAGAAGCTCATTTGGAAGATGCCCTGATGTTGCAAGTACTCCACATTTAGGTAAGAAATACCACCTTATGCCATATCCACAGTAACTATAGGAAGGTTGGAGTGGACAGGAAGAAACCTCCCTCAGAAGTCATTGTGCCTGTCCTCCAACGCAGGGCTACAGGGCTCCATGTTGCTGAGGGCAGAGCTGATGACTCAGGGGAATGGAACATGACAATCACGTCAGTTTTTAAAAATTAAAATATAGTCATCACTGCATGATGATATTTGGATCAACAATGGACTGTATATATGATGGTGGTTCATGAGATTAATAATGCTGTACTTTTCCGTGTTTACATGTGTTTAGATACACAAATACTGACCATTCTGTTACAGCTGCCAACAGTATTCTGTACAGTTTAGCACGCTGTGCAGGTTGGTAGCCTAGGAGTAATAGGTTATACTGTGTGCCCGGGTGTGTAGTAGGCTCTACCATCTAGGTTTGTGTAAGTGCACTCTATGATGTTCACACAATGAGGAAATTGCTGAGTGATGCATTTCTCAGAACACATCCCTCCCCATCATTAAGTGACACCTTACTGTATGCCACACCAGTTGGTAAATGGCTGCTGCCTTGAGCCTCCTGTGTGCCCTTGTCCCTCAGACCTCTTTCCCAACAACTGCTGGTGAGATCCACGATCCAGCAATCGGGAGGGAAATATGGGCACAGTACAGGGTCTCCAGGACTCTGCTTCCACGCAGGCCTGTGTGTCTTCTGGCTGGTCAGAGCCTTTGCATGACAACTATGGGCACCCATGTGCCAATGGGTGAGGTGCACATTCAGAAGAAATCCTTTAAAATACTCCCAATGGGTACTGGGATTCTCTTTTAACGTTATGGATACCAGCTCACACTATTGGAAAGTTCATCTCAGGGGCAGCATAACATAGCAGAAAAAACAACGGATTTGGCTGGATGTGGTGACTCACGCCTGTAATCCCAGCACTTTGGGAGGCCAAGGTGGGCGGATCGCTTGAGCTCAGGAGTTGGAGACCAGCCTGGGCAACATGGCAAAACCCCATCTCTACAAAAAATACAAAAATTAGCTGGGTGTAGTGGCATGTGCCTGCAGTCCCAGCTACTTGGGGGGCTGAGACAGGGGGATTACTTGAGCCCAGGAGGTTGAGGCTACAGTGAGCCGCGTTCACGCCACGGCATTCCAGCCTGGGCAACAAAGTGAGAGCCTGCCAAGAAAAGGAAGGAAGGAAGGAAGGAAGGAAGGAAGGAAGGAAGGAAGGAAGGAAGGAAGGAAGGAAGGAAGGAAGGAAGGAAGGAAGGAAGGAAAGAAGGCAGGCAGGCAGGCAGGCAGGCAGGGAGGGAGGGAGGGAGGGAGGGAGGGAAATAAATAAAGAAAGAAAAAGAAAGAAAGAAAGAAAGAGAAAGGAAGGAAGGAAGGAGAGAAAGAGAGAAAGAGAAAGAAAGAGAAAGACAGAAAGACAGAAATAAAGAGAGAAAGAAAGACAAAAAAAAAAAAAAGAAAAGAAAAAAGATTGGTCATTAACTTTGCACTGTCTGTGAGACATAGCAACTCCCGTTGTCCTCCCTGGGGCCGAGATTTCTCATTTGTAAAGTGACAGGGCTAGATACTCTTTAAGACTTCATGTAGCTTACAAATGCCAATGTTTAAGTTCTATACTTAATGGAAAGGCTTTTCATTTAATCAAAAAGAAATCAGTCAAGTAGAGAAATACTTACACAACAATCCCAAAATAACCAATGAAATGAAAATGTTAACCAGAAGGGTGGTGATGAATCTGAAGGTAAACATCATGGCCAAAGACAAGGCTGAAAAATTAAGCAAAACACATAAACCTCAATAGCAACAAAGGGTAGGGGAGATGATGGTAGCACTGCAATGACAAAACCCTCCAGAATAGAACAGTGATGGCTGAGGATTTCATTCAAACCCTAAATATCTTGGGATATCTACTAAACACTAAATAAAAATAACAAGGTATATGCGGGGCAGTCTCTGACGCACCATTCAATCAAGTGTGGTAAGCCAGTCTCTGGGAGTCCTAGTATTCTTCTTAAAAATAAAAAAATTTTGGCTGGGCGTGGTGGCTCATGCCTATAATCCCAGCACTTTCGGAGGCTGAGGCGGGTGGATCACCTGAGGTCAGGAATTTGAGAACAGCCTGGCCAACATGGCGAAACCCTGTCTCTACCAAAAATACAAAAAATTAGCCGGGCTTGGTGGCAGGCACCTGTAATCCCAGCTACTCAGGAGGCTGAGGCACGACAATTGCTTGAACTTGGGAGGCGGAGCTTACAGTGAGCCAAGATGGCGCCGCTGCACTCCAGCCTGGGCGACAGAGAAAGACTCTGTCTCAGTAAAAAAAAAAAAAAAGAAAAAAAGAAAAAAAAATTTATAGCAATATTATTCTCAAATGCCCAAATCTTTTTTTCCTACAAGTTCAAATGAACCATTTAAAATTCTTATCACATGGGTGCAGCACACCAACATGGCACATGTATACATATGTAACAAACCTGCACATTGTGCACATGTACCCTAGAACTTAAAATATATATATATATAAATTCTTATCACACTTAAATCTTTTGACTTTACTGGGCTTATGTAAAGTTCTGACTTTACATGTTCTAAGGTACTCTTATTAAATATGAAAGATTAATGTCTTTAAAATGAAGAATTTAAGATCCTAACCATGAAATAAGCTGTATGTACCCTTTTTGACATAGGAAATTAGGATTGCATCTAGATCGGAGTTATGTTTAGTAAGGTGGGTTTTGGGATCACACAGATCTGGGTTTGAGTCTTAGTTCTGCCACCTCTTCTCCTAGGTGTGCAATACTGGCCAAGTTCTAAACCTCTCTAAGCCTCAGTTTCCTCTCTTACGAGTGGTACTGGGATTCTGATGAGGTTTTAATGAGTGAAGAATAAGTACAATGCCTGGCACAGTAAACGACAGCTGTTAATAGGGACATTAGGTCATTCTATAAGATATCAGGAATAACCTGAGGATTTTTTGTTATATATTGTAACCAAGCCAGTATCTGGTAGTCAAAGCATCTTGTTTGAGTCAACTGAAGTCATTTTCAGCCTCAATAAGAAGTCTGAAAGTCATAATGGTGACTAGTTAAATATCCCCAAGCATTTAGGAATTAGGAACCTTTTAGTAAAGAAACTGTGGAAAACTCAATTTGTTAACTGTTAGAAATATGTTAATTTCTGACCAAAGAGTTTCTCTCATCCAACAGGTTGGGGGGCTGCCACTGGAAAGCAAGGAGACAACAGGCTCTTACCACTGTCTAAAGGAGCAGAGTGTATTAACCTGTTCAAAGAGAAAGTTGGCTCTTGATTTCAGCCAACTGAAACATAGAAAATGGGAACTCAAACGGTCAAGAGTGGGTAGCTGCTTCCAGAAATGCCCAGAGAAGGCTTGAGGCCTTGACCTGTCCACAACCCAAAGCAGGTATGTCTCTTAGAGGAGCAGGATACAGCAGGCCCTTGCAGTCTGACTCCATTTAACACGGATGCACACATGTCCTTGCCCTGCTCACCAAGCAGCCTTCTGATCTGGTTCACCTACAGGTGGAGGCATGTTTGGCCAGAAGACATGGTTTCTGGTCACTCTGACAGTTGTATTTTTCATGTCCCATCCACAAATTAGCAATCTGCTTTATATACCCATCCCCAGTGAGGAGCAGACACTAGGGCATGGTCAGTATATCAAGGCAACCCCACCCACTGAGGCTTACTGCCAGAGGGCCAGCTGTTCCTCTATTCTTATTGCCCCATCCCCCTTAAATCTGAAACACCGAAAATATCTATAAAAAAATACAAAGTTTTAAATTTAAATCAAGAGGCTAATTTTCATTGTACAACGTATAAAAGTGCTAGGAACTTTGGCATTCCGTAAACAATTACTAAAATTAACTTAACTGAGAATTACCTAATGTGAGGATACACAGGCCAAGGATTGTATCTCTTCCCGACATGATTCCACTTAGAATTCGGTGGAGGGTGTCACCATCATTTATCCAAACAGATGCAAACAGGGAGTAGCACTCAGGTGTTTGAGGGATGCATCGGTTAAATAAGGGAAATGACTTGCTAAAAATAGAAATAGAAAACATGGCAAAAATGTCTATTTAATATTTATCTTTAAAAGATGTTTATTTAACATTCTCAATAACCAAAAATGCTTAAGAACTATAGCAATAGAGCAGGGCCCAGCATGCCATTTGCAGAGCACACCTTAGAAAGCCAGGCCGGTGTGCTCTGCTGCATCATTAGTTGTGTTCTGAATAGGAAGTTGATTATGGGGACTCACAGAAACCAAAAACCTAAACTTGGGGAGCAACATTTTTAAAAATAAAAATTGCATATATTTAAGGTATACAAGGTGATGTTTTGATATATATAAACTTTGTGCAACGATTGCTACAGTTAAGCTAATGAACATATCCATCAATTCCCATAGTTATCGTATTTTGAGAACACTGAAGATCTGTTGTATCAAATTTCAAATATACAATACAGTATTATGAACTAGTCACCATGCTCTACTTCATGTATCTAGAATTTATTCACCCTACGTAACAGAAACTTATATCCTTTGATCAACATCTTTCATTTCCCCTGCCCGCATCCCTGATAACCAGCATTCTATTCTCTGTTTCCATGAATTTGACTTTATTAGATTCCACATAAAACTAGGATCATGCATGAGATTTGCCCTTATGTACCTGATTTATTTCATTTAACATAATATCCTCTGGTTCATCCATATTGTTGCAAATAGCAGGATTTCTTCTTTTTTAAGGCTAAATACTACTCTGTGGTATGTGTACATGTACTACATTTTATTTATGGGTAACCACTTTTTTTTCTTTCTTTCTTTTCTTTTTTTTTTTGAGACAGGGTCTGGCTCTGTCACCTGCGCTGGAGTACAGTGGCTCGATCACCGGCCAGTGCAACCTCCGCCTCCAGGGCCCACGCTATTCTCCCACCTCAGCTTCCTGCTACAGGCATGTGCCACCACACCCAGCTAATTTTTGTTTTTTGTAGAGACAGAGTTTCACCAAGTTGTTGCCCAGGCTGGGGGCAACATGAGCTCAAATGATCCACCCACCTTGACGTCCCAAAGTGTTGGGATTACAGGCATGAGCCACTGTGCCCAGCGGGAACCACATTTTTTACTCTCCTGTCTTAGCCCTTCTTAGAAACAAACTACCAACTCCAACAAAAGAACTTTATTTCTGTAAGGAACTATTAGGGATGTGAACTGGATGAGACAGAAGCCATGTTAATGACACTATTAGCTTAATTCCGTCCTGTTTAGGAAGGCATATGAGACTTGAGGGCCTTGCTATGAACAGTGGGTGCTCAATAAATGAATAGTAAATGTATGATTGATGCTGCAGTTAACTGCCTTGGGTAGATGAGAAAGTTGGCCTTTTTTTAGCCCCTTCCTGAAATGTAAAATAGCCGAGGAATATGCATTCTAATGAATCTTCATAAGGCCACTGATACCTTCGCCAGGTCCTGTTCTTCTTTCTTTCCATGAACCCCAAATGGTGGAAATAATCCCAACCAAAGAAGTGTCAAATTATCTAAAAAGCTGCTCAAAACCCAATCACCAATCATTTTGTGCAATGTATAAGAATGAAACAAAGGAGAACCCAAATGTTAACAAGATTTCATTGCCCTGAAGAAAAGAAATGACTTTCCAAATTTCTAATGAAGCACAACCTAGAACACATGGAAAAATCTTTCTCCAGAAGTCTCAATATTACAGAAACAGTTCCTGAGTCACTGGATACTGGGTCAAGAGAAAAGTAACACAAAGGGTATTTTTGTAAATTACATTTTTGAAGGGGTAATACATTCACATGGCTTAAATTCCAAAAGGTACAAAAGACCAAACAGCAAGAAATTGCCTTTCCTTGTCCCTGAGCTACTGAAGTACATTTCCTCACAGGCACCCATTGTTTTTGGTGTCCTGCAAACCATTCTGGAGACTTTTATTAGCATATGTAAGTATCACAGGAAATTTAAATGGAATTTGCAGCTGAGCTCAAATATAATAAAAATTATACTCCAAAATGAGATGCCAGACTCCACCATTCAGGGTGTGCCAAAAAAGAGGTGGGAGAAAAGTGGTTAGATTATTCTCAAACCCACATCCATTCTGAGAGCATAAAAGAGTTGGAAGTTGATAAGAAGAGCATTTTTTAAAATAAACTTTTAATTTCTGAATAATTTTAGAGTTACAAAAGAATTGCAACAATAGTAGAGGGTTCCTCTGTGTATCCTTCACTCACCTTCCCCTAACGTGAATGTCTTACCTAACCACAGTATAGTTGTGAAAATTAAGATTTAACATTGGCACTAAACTACTAACTAAACTACAACCTTTATTTGGATTTTACCATAACATCCTTTTTCCATTCCAGGATCCAATTCAGGATAGCACATGGCATTTAATTGTCATGTCTCCTCTTTGGTCATGACGGTTTATATATTTTGTAGAGACAGAGTCTTGCCATGTTGCCCAAACCAGTCTTGAACTCCTGAGTTCAAGCCATCCTCCCACCTCTGCTCCCAAAGTGTTAGGATTACAGGTGTGAACCACTATGCCTGGACTGTGCCAAGTTTCTTACTTTTTCCTTGTTTCTCGTGACCTTGACATTTCTGAAGATTCATAGTCAGGTATTTTGTAAAATGTCCCTAAATTTGTAGAATTTCTCTCATGTTTTCTCATGATTAGACTACAGTCAACAGGTTTTTGGGAGACTGCCACAGAGGTGAAGTGCCCTTCTCATCCTATCAGGGAACATGACTACACTGGTGAAGTTGATCTTGATCACCTGGTTAAGGTGGTACCTGCCAGGTTTCTCCATGTAAAGTTGTTATTTTTCTCTTTTCCCTCTCTATTTCTTGGAAATGAGTCACTAAGCCTAGCCCACTCTCAAAGGGAGGGAAATTCCACCTCTGGGAGGAAGAAGTAAAGATTTATCCCTTTCACCGGGCGCAGTGGCTCACACCGGTAATCCTAGCACTTTGGGAGGCCAAGGCGAGTGGATCATTTGAGGTCAGGATTTTGAGACAAGCCTGGCCAACATGCTGAAATCCCGTCGCTAATAAAAATACAAAAATTAGCTGGGCATGGTAGCGGGCACCTGTAATCCCAGCTACTCAGGAGGCTGAGGCAGGAGAATCGCTTGAACCCGGGAGGTGGAGGCTGCAGTGAGCCGAGATCACACCACTGCACTCCAGCCTGGAAAACAGAGCGAGACTCTGTTTCAAAAAAAAAAAAAAAAAGATTTATCCCTTTCCCCCATTTATTTATTTATTCAATTATTTATTTATATCAGTATGGCCTCATGGACATTTATTCTTTTCTTTGGGTTATAATCCGTAATTGTGTTATTCAATCTATTCCAGTTTTGGCCACTACGAGGCATCTGTGTCCTTTTGACAAGACCCATTCTTTTTCTTTCTTGAGCACTTCCTTACTTTCTGATGCTAGAGGATGATACCAGGCGTAGCTGGTGTTTTCCTTATCCAGGTCCCAGAGCCTGACATTTCTCCAAAGAACCCTTGAAGACTGACGATTAGAAACCATGATCTGGGTATTGGGTATGGTGGGATATTACTGATTCTAGGTCTTATAATCGATTCTCGTATGTAGTTTCAGAATTGCTAACCATTATACTCTACTGTTTAGGGAATTAAAAAAAAAATGAAAAAAATGAAAACAATTGTTAACCAGTAGCTATGTGATAAACAAGTGTACTATCTGACGTACAATGTTTATGTACAGTTCCTTTTGTTTTTAGCTTACAGTATCTAGTTACAAAGCTGTTTTCCAAAGTTACTCACATCAGCTCCTTCTTTGTAATTTGTCACCCTCTACACTCTTATCCTAAGATCTCCAGACATCTTGATTTTAATTTTTATTTGCATATAGTAAAATCCACTCTGCACAGGTGATGACAAGTGCAGAGAATCATTAGAAGAGTAATTTTGAAGAGTTGAAATTTTTTTTTTTTTACTAGACTTGTCATGTGACTCCATCCCCATTCCCAAGGGGAAGAGGGTGAAGGGTACTACTCCTAAGTCAGATGAGAAGGGTTTCATGGAAAACTCACAGAGCTTAGGGAATCCCCTGGCTTAAGGTCTGAGCCACCCAAAAAAATCTGGAGGGTGAGCAGCTTTAATAACAGAGCAGAGAGCTACAGCTGGGGAGTTAAGAGCCCCAGGGCATTTGTCAGGGCAAAGGGTGCAGAGGGCTTCCTGGGGTCAAGTTGTGGGCTGCATGTGCACAAGTCCCAATGACGGGACTTCTACGGGGCTAAGACAGCCCTCTGAGGAAGGCTCTCACATGACCAGCCAGAGCACAGATGTCCTGGACTACATGAAAGGCATTGCAGCTGAAGGAGCCCCGAAGAACCCAAAACACGCTCATGAGGGAAAGAGCTGGCCAGGACATCTACCAAGCCCAGAGAATGCTGGTGCTAGTGTCAGACAAGTAAATGTGTTCCTGCTACTCTTTTCTTATCTTCACTTTTGCTGCACCAGTCCCTTAGGCAAAACCTGTTTTAGCAAGCTGGGAGAGGAGGGGAGGAATAAACAGAGGAGAAGAGCAGCTGACTACAACCTCCTTCCTGGACTGTGGCCTTCCCACTTGCTCCACGGCCAAGCGTGCAGGGGGCAGAAGTTTGAATCTCCAATCAAGTGAGAACTTTATCACATCAGGCTGAATATTTTTTAATTTTTAAAAAAAATTTTGAGAAAGGGTCTTGCTCTGTCACCAAGGCTGGAGTGCAGTGGCATGGTCACAGCTCACTACAACCTCAAACTCCTGGGCTCAAGAGATCCTCCCACCTCAGCTTCAGCTAGGACCACAGTCATGTTCTACTATGCCAATCTAATTTTTAAATTTTTTGTAGAGACAAGGCCTCATTATGTTGTCCAGGCTGGTCTTGAACTCCTGGCCTCAAGCAATCCTAAAGCCTTGGCCTCTCAAAATGTTGGGATTGCAGGCATGAGCCACTGTGCCTGGTCTGGGCTGAACATTTTAATTATTGAATTGAAAGTATCTGTTACAACTTAAAGTGACTCAGTATATATTACCTAAAAGTTACCAGAGAAGCCTTGGAAATTGCCTGTGTTTTTATTCAGGGGCAGAAAAAACTAGTCCCACTGAATAAATTTAAAGAGACAGAGAAAGACAAAAATTAAATTGCTTTCTGACTACATCCTGTAAGTCATGCTTGATGTAATGGTTATACAAGCAAATATATACCTATATGTATATATTTACATGTTTATATATACTTATATTTTCCACTTTTTATGCAAAAGACAGTATACTGCACACTGTTCTATTATTTGCTTTTTTTTTTTTTTTTAACAATACACTTCAGAACGTAAGGAATTCCTCTTATTTTTACTGAGGCAAAATTTATATACAATGAAATGCACTGATCTTAAACATAAAATTAGAGACTTTGATAAACATATACATCTATGCAACTACCACTCCTTTCGAGATTTAGAATATTTCATTAGCTGGGCTAGGGATGCATCTTTTTTTTTAGATGGAGTTTCGCTCTTGTCACCCAGGCTGGAGTGCCATGGCGCAATCTCGGCTCACTGCAACCTCCGCCTCCCGGGTTCAAGAGATTCTCTTGCCTCAACCTCCCGAGGAGTTGGGATTACAGGTGCCCACCACCACGCCCAGCGAATTTTTGTATTGTTAGTAGAGACAGGGTTTCACCATTGTTGGCCAAGCTGGTCCTGACCTCAGGTGATCCGCCCGCCGTGCCTTCCCAAAGTGCTGGGATTACAGATGTGAGCCACCATGTCCGGCTCACAGGGATGCATCTTTAGGCCATGGCCTGAGGTTTCTTCACCACTTCTGCTTTTCTTCTTCCCATTAGCAAAGCCACTCAAACTTGCAGGAAGTCATTGGGCAAGCTGCCTGTATATTTAGATCACCATGTATATGGAATTCAGCTGAGCAAACCATGCAGTGACATGCGTGGGCACCTACGTGGGAGGGTAGAACTAGAATTTACTGGGGGGAAAATATCCATGCCTTTTAGATTTTGAATACATGGGGGACTAAAAATACATTACCATGTTGAACACCAAAGTGAAAAAAGATCTATTTGCTTGTTATCTTCTGCAGTGCTTTTTCACTGCTCTTAAAAGCTCATACCTAGGTCCATAAACTTCTTGATATTTAGCCATTACTCTAAAAGGGTATGTTATACCTCACATGATCAACACAGGAGGAAGAAACAATCAGTTCAGTCAAAAAGAGGTATTTAGAAAATATTCTTTGGCCCTGTAGCCACCCTTCTCATGTTTTCCAGCTTTTCAGTCTTGGCACTGCTATTCCATGATAAATATGATCATTTTCACCTTAAACAAACACTTGCTTGTGCAGGAAAGGGGAATGGAGCCCTTGAGGCTATTTCTCTCTCTCTTTCATTCTGTCTAAAAAAGGCCACTCAGTCAAGGGTTTTGTCTTTACTTGAAAAGTTAGTATTGGAAACACTTGCATTTAGGGTGAAAAGGACTAGGGCTGGCTTGAGAGTGAGAAGAAATGGTGCTATTATGACACAGGGTACGGGGACTCTTTCTCCCAGCTTGATGTGAGTCTAGGAAGGCCACTCACCAGTCAAAATAAAACCAAGTCTTGACTCAAACATAAGACGCTACTTGGGTTTGAATGCCAGCTTTTCCATTTGCTGGGTGTATGACCTCAAACCTCTCTGCATCAGTTTTCTCAGTTGTGAGATACGGATGAAAACAGTACCTACAATGTAGATGTTTTCTGGGGCCCAAATTATGTTAAGGATTTAGAAAAGTATCAAAAGCTCAATAAGTGTTTGTTATTATCATCATAAGTATCAAGATAGAAGCTTCCTGTGGAATTATGGTTGCCATCCCATTTATAGTAAGAGGAGAGTTTATCCAACTCCGGTTAAATTACAACCTTAAAAATTCCATTCTCTTTCAATTACATCTGTAGTTACATCTACAGTTACAAATTGTGTTCTTAAAAAAGTCCTCCTCTCCAAGTGCTAGAGAATTTTCCTTCCACCTATTACTAAAACATTCTAGTTTTTTTTTTTTAATTGGGTACAGTAAGTTTCATTAAGATGTGTTTATGATACTTATATTTTACCAGAATGTAAAGTATCATAAACACATTTACAATTACCAGAATTTTAAAATAAGATATTATAGGCCAGGCGTGGTGGCTCATGCCTGTAATCCCAGCACTTTGAGAGGCTGAGGCAGGCATATCATGAGGTCAAGAGATCAAGACCAGCCTGGCCAACATGGAGAAACCCCATCTCTACTAAAAATACAAAAATTAGCTGGGCGTGGTGGCATGTGCCTGTAGTCCCAGCTACTTGGGAGACTGAGGCAGGAGAATCACTTGAACCTGGGAGATGGAGGTTGCAGTGAGCTGAGATCGCACCATTGCACTCCAGCCTGGGAGACAAGAGCAAGACTCTGTCTCAAAAAAAAAAAAAAAAAAAAAAAAAAATTATAGAAAAATGAAATGGGTATTCTCCTCAGCAAATAGTTCTCTCCTCCTTCAATTACTTACAACATGGAGTATTTATTTTAGAAAAGAATATCACCAAATGGCTATTTTCTGCCTTCGATGTGATTAAAACCTACTCAAGTCTTTCTGTGTTTGTGTGAGCACCTGCTAGATGAGCATTTTTCAAGCTTCACTTGCAACCAGTCAGAAGACTATGAAATACATTATTTTTAAAAAGGCAACAGAATAGTAACTAAGGGTGTGAATCATATGTAATAAGGGTAAAGGTTGCTTTGTGAGATTTCTAGTATTGTTTTATATATATAAGGACATATGAAGGTATGTGCATACAGGAGTTGGGATGTAATAAATTTCTTACTGTAAGTCCCAAACAAGAGTTCAATAAACACCATCCTAGAGGATTGGAATAATGCTTTGTTTTAATTAAATCATCATTATTTCTCAGGGATTTTTCAGAGAGGTCTCGTCTCCTACATTGTAAACATACTCACATCTTTCAAAAGAATGACAATTCAGAATCAATACAAGTTTTCCTTTAGTACATCTCAGCATCATGATGGTGGCAATAAATACTCATTGTGTCTTTCCCCTTAGCCTTCTCAAAGGTGTAAACATGTGCCATTCGCCATGGCAACGTAACCACTGCTCCATCATTACAACTTTATTCTACAAATATTTGTAAGGTGCCTACCATGTGCCAGGTAGTACACTAATTTATAGGGGTGAATAAGACCTTGCAAGGAGCCCACCAAATGTACTCTTGACAAGGACCTATGCTTTCTGTTTTCATTGAGAAGAAAGGTGTGGCGCTCACTTGGCCTTGTCTATCTGGTCTGTTTCTTATGAAGATATCTAGAGCAATAAAAACTAACAAAGTCTGATTGTGATAAAAAGCCAAAAGTAAATGATTTCTTTCTTTTTCTTTGAGACAGAGTCTTGCTCTGTCACCAAGCTGGAGTGTAGTGGCGTGATCTCGGCTCACTGCAACCGCCACTTCCCGAGTTCAAGCGATTCTTCTGCCTCAGCCTCCCAAGTAGCTGGGACTACAGGCACGCGCCACCATGCCCAGCTAATTCTTGTATTTTTAGTAAAGATGGGGATTCACCATGTTGGCCAGGATGGTCTCCATCTTCTGACCTCATGATCTGCCTGCCTCCGTCTCCCAAAGTGCTGGGATTACAGGCATGAGCCACCATGCTCAGCCAAAGTAAATGATTTCTACTTTGCAATAAATAGTTGGAGTAGAAAAAAATACACACTAATTTATAAAATTACCCTGTTAGTAATAGTTCATATGTTACTTCTTGCTAGTACTAGTGTTCTTTGAAGACTATGTATATTTTTACTGTTTGCTGAATTTTCTCCTTATTTAGCCTGATTTCTAATCCACTGTCCACAGGCATACTGCAAATAGTCCTGCCATGTTTTTATCCCTGGCTTCCATAGATTGTAAGCTCCCTGCAGGCAGGGGCTCTTCTGATATCTCCTTCTCACAATGCCTGTAAGAGTAACAGATGCACACCAAGTACCCAGTAACTTTTGTTGAGGGTTAAGGAAAAAGTATGGAAGCTTTTACCTTGGAGGAACTGGTAGCCTGGGGCACAGTGAGTCTGCTTTTGGACTGTGGGTATAGTTGGAGGAATTCAAACTATAAACACACAGGAAAGACCCTGGAAGCAGAACACATAGACATTATACCATCTTCCCAGGTGAGTCAGTAAGGAAACCACAGTCATGTTACCAAATCAGAAAGGAGAAAGAATCAGCTACAAGGTCTATGGGTGACAGAAACACAAAAAGAATAGTCATACAATCTGAGGTCTAGTGAGGGCCTCTCTTCCTTACTTTCTCTTCAAAACCCCAAATTCAAAACTAAAAGTTATATGATTGGTCCTAAAATAATCTGAAGCGTATTTGAAAACAATTTCTTGTAGAAGCTTGATAGTTTAAACCTGGCTTTGCAAATAATTTCTAAAAATCTGGCAAACCATTTTTCAGGCAGATAAAATTCTAAACAGCGGACCCAGTACAAGGTATTTCAGTTATACAAATGCTTTTGGTACAACTTGTGATATCTCACTGCTCAGTGGAAGTATCTTTTAGCCCCGACAATCTCATGAAAAGACCTATTTGTCGGCAATTCAACCCGCACCCTGCCCGTACATCTCTAGGATTGGAAGTGCCCATGTGCATGGAGCTCTCTGACTTCCTTCTGACCCTGCCTTTGGTCCCAAATGTGGGCTGTGTCCTCTCTCTCTCTATGGACAACCATTCCCCCGCAGTGGCAGGGAGCATACATGGAACAGCTAGGGCTTCAGATAAATCCATACAGAACAAAAATAACCTGAACAAGCTCAAGAGAACATGCTTACGGCCTTTTCCACACAAGAGGAGGTACCCACAAGGAAGTAAACCTTTCAGCTTTCCAGAGAAAGCAGGGTCAGGATAAATGATCTCATCTAAGTTCCCATAGCTTACCCCACCATGGGGAAAAGAATGAATCAGGCCTCAGTACCTACCACTGGTGTTTGCAAACAGCTGGACCTCTTCCAGGGAGTCAAGCTGCTCTTCAGGGCAGCTGGATACACAGAGGGCCGTGCGGTCGAGCCGCATACCTTTGACTTGGTTGCAGGAATTCATAAAGAACACGTGTCTAGGAAAGAGATGAAACAGAAGAATGTGTTAGAGCATTGCCTCTTCACTGGGCTTAATTGTGGGCCTTAAAAAATATCTACATGCTATCAAATGCAGGGATCACCCAGGCACACGTTCACAATTGTTTCAGCATAATTGAACACTTATTATGCCTACTGGTGGTCATCCGTGAGGCTGTGCAGCTTGGAAATGATCCAAAAATGTAAACAAAACTTTGTTTCTCCAGATTTAGTGTTTTCTGGGAGATAACACTAGGAGTTATCTGAGAAAATCTGAGGAAAAGAAGCAATTGATTAAACTGTCCGTTGATCACTAGATCAGGCCAATGCACAAACTATTCAATGGACTCCATGGATAACACATTTGTACCTAAGAGTGTTCAAATATGCTTCCGAGAATAAGTGAACACAGGGAAGTGAGAAGTGGAAAGGAGGGGCCAACGCTGGGAACTAAAGGCTTGTCTTTCCCCCTTTCTCACAGGTTGAGAGCCAGGACACTCAGGAGATCCCTCCTGCAGCTCCCCAGGGGCAGGGTAGAGCAGGCACAAGAACGAAACTGGTGTTGCCATCAGCAGGTTATGCGCTAGCAGCCACAGCTTCCAGACCTTTGTGTACCACTTATCCAGGCTCCGAGACCCCAGGAATGGCAGAGGAAGACCCCATAGGCTGTCCTCTATGGGAGAGACCTTGAGAAGTGGTCCCAGAAGGTTTTTTTCCCTCCTGTTGGGGATGGGAGAAGGTGGGTGCAAGAGGAGATGAGGAACAGATTTCCTGGGTGTGTGATATATATATTTTTGAAAAAGTTTAAAAATTGTGTTAAAGTATACATAAAATTTACCATCTGAATCACTTTTTTTTTTTTTTTTTTTGAGACAGAGTCTTGCTCTGTCGCCCAGGCTGGAGTGCAATGGCCCAATCTTGGCTCACTGTAAGCTCCGCCTCCCAGGTTCAAGTGATTCTCCTGTCTCAGCCTCTGAGTAGCTGGGACTACTGGTACCCACCACCACGCCTGGCTAATTTTTGTATTTCTAGTAGAGACGGGGTTTCATCATATTGGCCAGGTTGGTCTTGAACTCCTGACCTTGTGATCCGTCCACCTTGGCGTTCCAAAGTGTTGGGATTACAGGCGTGAGCCACCACACCTGGCCCCATCTGAATCTTTTGGGCTATCGTCACCACCATCCATTCGCAGAACTCATCTTCCCAAACTGAAATCTGTACCTATTAAACAAAAGGTTCCCACCCTCCTTTCTTCCAGCCCTTTGCAATCGCCATTTTACTTTCCATTTCTAGGAATCTGACTACTTTACATATCTCCTATAAGTGGAATCATACAATGTTTGTATTTTTGTGACTGGTTTATTTCACTTGGCATGACATCCTCAAGGTTCATCCGTGTTGTAGTATGTGTCAGAATTTCCTTTTTAATAATTCATGGTAATGTACATATCACATTTTGATTATCCATTCAACCGTTGATGGACACTTGAGTTGCTTCTACCTTTTGGCTTTTGAGAATAATGGAATGTATACTCACTTCAACCAGGAATGACTGTTTCTTGACACTGCATTATGAACACAATGTGAAACAGGAGCACATGGGCATCTAAGTTGCCCTTCCTCCTCCTGTCTTCTTTGTAAGTGGCTCTACAAATGCAGGAGAAATGCCCCCTCATCAGTCCATGTCCAGAAATAGCAAGAGCCCCCTTAGGAGGAACACACAGGAGGATAAGAGGATAAGAGGCCTAGTCTGAGATTTGTATTTGGTGACTCCAAACTTATATTCAGGATTTATTTAGATCCTTAGGATTTCTCTTCTAGGAGCGACTTTTATTATTGAGTCTTAAAAATCCTTTTTTTGGCTGGGTGTGGTGGCTCACGGCTGTAATCCCAGCACTTTGGGAGGCCGAGGTGGGAAGATCACAAGGTCAGGGGATGGAGACCATCCTGGCTAAACTCCATCTCTACTAAAAATACAAAAATTAGCCAGGCATGGTGGCGGGCGCCTGTAGTCCCAGTTACTTGGGAGGCTGAGGCAAGAGAATCGCTTGAGCCCGGGAAGCAGAGGTTGCAGTGAGCCGAGATCACACCACTGAACTCCAACCTAGGCGACAGACTCTGTCTCAAAAAAATAAAAAGTAAAAATAAATAAAAAATCATTTTTTTGTTCCGTCATGTGAAGCAAGAGCTAAAATCTTAAAAATTCTTACAAGGCAGTCTCCATCTTAGAAGGTCATGGTCGGGGATTTCTCTCCCCTCCAGGGGATTCCCATCTCTTCTCTCCCCTTTCTGTTTCCCTGTGGGAGCTGGGGTAGCAGGGTGCGGGGAAGAATGCAATACCGCAGTGCCATAGCTGGGGCGGGGGTAGGACACAGGTCCCCAGCGTTCCAGGTGGCATTCAGGTGTTTCCACATAGAAACAATGTGTGGATGATGTAGGGTTCAAACATATACGATTGGTAACATGATTCTAATTCCTTATGGAGAATAGCAGCAATTAACGTTTATTACACCTTAGCTCATGCAGTGTCTCATGGATCCTTAAAACAACCTTGTGAGGCAGGTATAATAACTAGTTTAGAGAGATGAAAACTAGGCTTTGAGAGGTTAAGTATTTTGCCCAAGATCACACAGCTGAAAAGTAGCATGGGCTGAATTTGAACTTAGCACTGCTGATTCTAAAACTTGTACTCTTACTTGTACTATACACACAGCCTTCCTTTTTATGAAATAGGCTGACAGAGTTTTGAATGGGAACAGTTTCCGGGTTCCAAGTGATGAATTTATACAAAGTTTTGAGGTTCAGCTCCTTACAGACTGGGGACTTACTTAGATACTTACTTTTTTAGGGTCATGTCCTGCCCTGAAAGAGGGGCCCCTTCCACGGGGGAGTTCTTCTTGCCACACACGTTGCCAAAGCTGTCATAGCCGAAGAGGAGTCTCCCTGCAGCTCCAGCCACCACTGAGTAGCCCATAATAAACACCTGGCAAAACCGGGGGCGTAAAACCGGGGGCATATGAGAGCCTGGCCAAAGGGCTGAGCACACAGTACCCCACACCCCTGCAGATGCTGATATAAAATGGAGCCTGGTGGAACGTGAAGCTCTCCAGCATCACAGCCCTTCACTCTGTCAGCAAGGGTCAACAACTCCAATCTATCAGCATCCTGCTTTTCTGCTATTTGTGAATTTAGGTAGAGAGAGAATCTAATCCACTGAAACAGATATCTCTCTATTTTCTTACCTCTTTGTGCTTTTTACCCTTTTCCTTAAGAGTCTTATCATTTTTCTTTTTGGCCTAACTTTACTGGTACAACTCAATTTTTCTTCCCTTGAGGTTCTTGCTGTATTTAAGTGCTTCAGGGCTATGCTAATTCTTTCCCTGAGTTTCCCCCCCCCCCCCCCACTAATTTTTGTTTTTTTCTCTTCTTACTTTTAGGGGATTCTGCAGAAGCAACACAGTTGATATGTATCAAAATACTGTTCACAAATCTGCAAATAGTGTTTTGGAATAACTGCTTAAGATGTACAAAATAAAGAACCACAGGAATTCTGTTGGATGAGAACATCTTGCACTCTATCATCATTTCTATCCAGTCTCATAGTGAATGTGGAATATTTGAAATTTCAGTTCAAACAACTGTGCCATTAAACTGACAGGCTCTCTGCCAAGATTGAATATGTATCTTCCCATAATGCAAACTTAGTAAGTTTCCCACTACTGTATACAATATATAGGATACCATTTAATACTCTATATTGACAAGTTCATCCCAGGAGAGCAGATATAATACATCATTCATTAATATATAGTATTGATACCTTATGCTGCAAAGGTACATTGTGCTAAATTCAAATACCTTCTAGATATTCTGCACTTATTACTAATTTAGAAATCAAAATAACAAACATTCTTCAAGTGCCCAGTGTGTGCTTGAGACTTCGTTACTGGGAGACACAGGAATGACCAGAACCTACTCCTTGCCCTCCAGGAACCCAGCCTAGAAGGCAAGCAGGACTTACGGGCTGCAGACCTCCTGGGGAAGGAGGCTCCCTGTCCTTCCCCACTCTCCAAGATCCTCCTAAGTCTAACTGGTCAGATTCTAGAATGAATGGGTCACCTTTGCTAGCAGTGTGTGTCACTCACCCTTTACCTAAAGGCTGTGGAGTAGGTGTGACTCTGTTTGCCAATGTGGCTGGCATGGCAAGCTGACTGCACCTTGACATGCTTGTCCCGTCCTTTCGAGTTGGAGTGTAGTAAGGTCTTGACTGTGTCTGGACTTAGAGGGAGGAAAGGGGTCATGTGCTTCTGCCCAGCTCACCAGTAATCTAATAACAAAGTGATGTTTTCCATTTACCATCATTCTTTCCTTTGGAAACCTGTGTTGAAGAATGGAAAGTTTTTCTGGGTAGGAGAGGTGGGAGCAGTTTTTGAGTATTCCTGAGTCCCTGCTAACAAAACTACAACTTTATGATTATTATTTTTTATTTTTATGTTTTGTAGAGACAGGGTCTCGCTTTATTGCCCAGGCTGGTCTTGAACTTCAAGGGATCCCTTGGCTTCAAGGGATCTTCCTGCCTCAGCCTTCCAAAAAACTACTACTATAAACCTTCACTGTCCTAATTTCAAATATGCAATTGCGATTCTATATGAGAGGTGATATAGGAGGTGTCTACACTGGTCTAGTGGGGCCACCAAGGTGGTCACTGTCAACCGTGCCTGAAAAATCAGGAAAATGGAATCCTAAGGGTTGAATAGGAAAAGGCAGGGTGGGAGAGGATACTGGAGGGGTAAGTAGAGGCAGGGACAGTCCAGACTTTGAGACTTTGTTCCTTGTGTTTAATGCAAATATAAACACAGGCTGGTGCTGCATTTGCAAGAACCATCTCTGCTTATAATTTTGGCCCCTTCCCCCAAGCCTTTGTCCAGTCCTAACTCAGGGCAGCACCATCAATAATAATCCTGTTGGGCATATCACCAGTCATGACATCTGTCACAAGACCTGAAAGCTGAGCAATGGAGACAGAGAAAAAAACAAAACAAAACAAAACAAAACAAAACAAAACCCCAAAACAAAACACTCCTTGCTCTGTTTTAAATACCTTCAACTAAAAAATGTTGCAAAAGATACTAAAAGCCAGTGAGCTAAGAAAGGACTCTGACTCTTAAAACAGAAAGCCGTAATGAGAACTTGGACATATTAAAAACTTCAGACTTATTTTGCAAATGAAATGTAACTTTAACGCAGTTTCCAGCTCCGTGCCACCTCAGCTGGTTCGCAATTCTTCAGGCTGTGATAGGTCATCTACAAAGCCTTTCTCCAGGAATCTCAGCTGCTGGGCTGAGAGTTTGGTAGTGAGGTCCTAGGTTGAAGCTGTGGAGGGGCTAAGGCAGATCATTAAATCACAATAACAGCTTGAGGTCAAAGCTGCCAGGCACAAGGCAGGCCAGTCGCTGCCTGCATTGATACAACAGCAGTCTCAGATAAAAACACCAACCATCTGTGAAGTTAAGCAGAAGGTATTGTAGGTGCACTGTCTCTCCCAGCTCCTAGAGGAGAGTTCCAACATAAGCAGCAAAAAGTCTGATTATGTGTTTCAGACCTAACCTTCCACTGTGCCTGTAACCAAACCTGTCTATGTGAAACGGATCACAGGTGAACAAATGCCTGAAGTCAACAAGTGAACAAATGCCTTTCTTACTTGGAAAGAAGAACCAACATGACATTTTAGGGCCTATTCAGATGGAATTCTTTTCAACAAAGGTAGTTACTATCTGGTAGTTATTACCCTGCTCTATAAATTAATCATTTACCATGCAGCAAATAGCATGCCTTAGCCTGGCATGGATGATTTCGTGAAAGTGGCCTTTGAAAACGTCAGGTGAGACGTTTTCTGCTGTTACCTACAACTCTAAAATAAGTACAAAAGCAGCAAGATTCAGCTTCCAACAGACTCAGGATTATAACTGCACAGCCTGATTGGGTTTACCAGCAATCATACACACCTGGAAACTAGAGTAGGAAAAATCATTCCTTGCTAGCTATGGTTAACAAGTATTGAATCCCAGCACTTTGGGAGGCCGAGACGGGCGGATCACGAGGTCAGGAGATCGAGACCATCCTGGCTAACACGGTGAAACCCCGTCTCTACTAAAAAATACAAAAAAACTAGCCGGGCGAGGTGGCGGGCGCCTGTAGTCCCAGCTACTTGGGAGGCTGAGGCAGGAGAATGGCGTAAACCCGGGAGGCGGAGCTTGCAGTGAGCTGAGATCCGGCTACTGCACTCCAGCCTGGGGGACAGAGCGAGACTCCGTCTCAAAAAAAAACAAAAAAAAAACAAAAAAAACAAGTATTGGCTGCTAAACACAACGTATCTTGTGTGTGTGTGTGCGCGCGCGTGCGTGTGTGATGTTCAGCTAAAGGAAATGCAATTTATTGCTAGGCTTACCCTGGCTTTTATTTTGTTAAAGGTGCACCAAAAGCTTGAAGAATATTTGATTTGGGGGTGTGGCAGGTGGTAAAAGAACTTCTCTTTAGTAAGTACGGATAGTAAGAGGAGACACATTGGCCTTACTAAATAGCAATCACGTTGTAAACTGTTAATTCCCATTTCCTAATGGAGTCACCCCTTAGAAAATGGCCTGTAGCAAAAAGACGGCCTTTCTAGCGAGTCTAGGACAAGAATTCTCCCGAGTACTAACTGCTGTTTATTGTGGGTTAATGGCAGAAGTCTCTCACTGCAGCACCAACTACGATTTACATTTGGGACAGAGTTATTTCCAGACGCGCCACACACACTCTGGCCTCTTTCCTCCCAAGCACCCACACTTACCAAACCAGTCCAAAAGAGAAAGAACAGGAATAACCATGCCGTATCTGTGCATTTCCTATAAATCTGGGGTCGCCACTCCCTTTGCCTAGGGGCTCTTTCTGCAGAAACCTTCCAGAAAAAGGGAGAGTTGAGAAAAAGAAGATAAACAAGTGGACTCAACCTGGAAACCGAACCCAAATCTACTCGAAGAGTGGTCAAAGTAACCAATCTTTTTCTAAATTTTAAAAATTATTATTATTATTATTTACGTGGCCACCTGAAGCTCTTTCACGCAGCCTTTGAAACACCTGCCCTGTGCGGAGCGGATGTTCAGCCCCCTGCCGACAAGTGCTTACCTGGAGGTGCACCTGAGGGCGGCCCCAAGTTTGCGCCCCGCGGCCCGCGTCTCCCCCACCTCCGCCCCAGCACTGGAGCAGGGTCCAGGGTCCTCCCCGCCAGGTGGCCCCAAGGTACTAAGCGGGGGCGGGATCCCCGAGGCGCGGGAAAGGCGGAAGCGTCCGGCGGGGCAGGTGAGTGCAGGAGGGGGACCCGACCCTTCCCCGGGGCTCCTCCCCCGAGGGCCGACCCTGTGGGCGCTTACCAGGTACTCGGCGCCCAGGCAGTGCATCTTGCGCTGGCAGGCGGGGGCCGGTGCCTGGGAGCCTCCGCCGCCTCCGGTACGCGGAGACTCAGCACCCGCGAGCCGGGGCTGGGGCTGAGGCCGGGGCCGGGCCGGGGAGGGGCGGGCAGGGCGCAGCGCCGCCTCCCGTTCGCCTCTGCGCCTGGTCCGGCGACTGCGGGCGCCGTGGTCCACTGGGTCCGCCTCTTCCCGGCATGGGTTTCTGCCCAGCTCACCCGCTGTCAGCTGGGGTCCTGCTCTGGTGGGAGGAAAAGGCTGAGACGCTTCTCTGCCCTGTTGCTTCAACCACCTCGCGGCAGCTGCTCCCAGGATGTGCACTTTGACGACTGAAGCTGAGCCTGCGCCGCCACGACCTTGGGCGGGTGGTCGGCCTCTGCTCTGAGCAGGAAGTAGAAAGTCTCAGCAGACCCTTCCTGAGGGCCGAGCAACAGTGTATTCTACATAGCAAACAGGTAAGCAGCATTTACTGTGTGCTGGATTCTGTTCTCACTGCTATTGTTATTCCTAATCTACGGAGGAGGGAAACTGAGGCACGGCCAGCGGTGATGCAACTTGTTCGAGGAGACACACTAAGCTGTGTAGGCAGGAGTCGAATCCAGACACTCCGGGAGACCGGCGCTCTTGAGGTGGTTTACTCAGACTTCTCTCCCACCTTGCCTTAGGACAATCATTGCCTGACTTCACAATTGAAATGGTAGTGTCCAACCGAAGCGACTGGTGGGGTAGTTTTCCAGGTAATATCAGACCAGCACAAAAGCACTGTTGGGGTGAGGAATTTAAAAAAAGAAAAACAAAAAAACTGCAGACCGACCTCCCCCCACCTCCTCCCAATCGAGCCTCTACCCTTCCCCCTGCCACCCTCAGGGTTGCTAGGTTAATTGCTTCCTTTAGGTGCTGCTTCTCCCTAAGGGTAGAAACCTGACTGGAGGAAAGATCTGGGAAAGTGGCAGAAACTGGGAGTGACAAACAGTGGTTCTCTGGTGCCAGCGATTTCCTTCTGGGCTCACACCACTCTCCCACTCCAAACTCACTGGGCCTTCCTTGTTTATCAGACAGAGTTGGTGAAACCCCAGGGGAACATGAATTCACAGGACAAAGAATTCGACACTGGAGGAGTGCAACTACTGTTAAAAGACCACAGTTGAATAACATCTGAAACTGATCAGTAGAGCAGATGGACCAAGATTTTTAAATAAGCATGATAAATTTATTTAAAATGAGTTATGATATTAGCAATATGAATCAGGAAAAAATATGAACCTAAAACAGAGATATTATGCATAAAAATAATAATTAGAATGAATATTGATGCTACCTATTAGTAATGTGCAATAGTCTAAAAGATGCAGCTGACGATAAATTAGTAATTGGAACAGCACTTTCAGCAACCCTCCAGAGGCAGTAGAAAAAGTTTTAAAAAACAAGTTAGCTTATTTGTAAATTTTCTAGCTTATACCGAGGTAAAACTAGAATAGAAAGGAAGAAATATAAAAACGGAGAGGAGGAAATATTTGAAGATATAATGGAGATAAATTTCAAGGTAGAAAAAACCTTCAGATTGAAAAGGTTTATCTCAGGCGAAATATTTCTATGTGTAAGTATTTAAAAGCATAACTTTGAACTTTCTATTAAGCCATATTGTCATTAGAATGTGAGAATGTATATACAAATATTCTTATGGAAGATTCATTTGAATGACATTCTTGGAGGAAGTAATCAAACAAGAAGAGAAACAAATTAAGGAGATGATACAATAGATATAGCATGAGAGTGGCCAAATATTTAGGCTGAATTTATTGTTGTGTTAGAAAAAAGGCCAGGAACCACCCAAGTGTCCAGAAACTGGTGGGTGACTATGCATAACTGTGATGCATCCATACAATGAAATACAACTAAGCATTAAGAAGGAACAAACTTCTGACATATACAAAAACATGGATGATCTCAAATGCATGTTAAGTGAAAAAAAGCCAGATATAATAAGCTACTCTATGATTCCATTTATGTGACATTCTGGAAAAGGCAGAAAATAGATCAATGGTTGTCAGGTGCTGGGGGTGAAGGGAATCTGAAGAAACTTTTTGAAGTGATAGAAATATTCCATTATCTTGAGAATGGTACTGATGACCCAATGGTATCTATTTGTCAAAATCTGTAGAACTGTACACTAGAAAAGGTGAATTTTATTGTATGCAAACTATATTTCATTAAACCTGACTTATAAAAACTCTTTTCAAAAGTCTAGAAACAAAGAACAATATATGTATAATTTCTCAAACCTAAAATTATAGACAATATCAACATTTTGAGGGGTGTGGGGCTCAGGAATGAGAGGCCAAAATGACAGGATAGTGGATCTAAAATAATGCCATTCAAAGGGTGGTTCACAAAAAATTAATGGTTCTCAAAGAGATAAGGAGCTTGTACCAGAATGCATATCAGCTATGTTATAAGCAAACTCTTTGATTCAGCTGACACTTTCATAGCAAAACTTTCTCAATGAAGGAAGCTGTGTGTTGATTTACATTCAGTCTCAAATCTCATCCTGGAATGGATAAGTAACCCAGTACTACTTAGAGTACTTAGAGTAGTACTGGGTTAGATTACTACCATATGGGAGGAAGATGAAAAAAACTGTTAACTTTAATAAATCAATAAGGATAAATATTTGTGAATGTAGGTCTTAAGGGTAACTACCATTAAAAAAGAATAAAACATATAAATTTTAAAGCAGTGGAAGAAAATATTATCGAATGAAAGGCAAGAGAGCAGAGGAAAAAGGAATTAAAAGAAAGTGCAATAATTAGAATATATGAAATTTGATAGCAGAAATAAAATTACTAATAATAACTTTTACTTTCAGAGCACCTAATATATTCCAGATACTTTTCTGGGTGTTTCTTATTTGATCCTCATAATAACCTTGTGAGGAAAGTACTATTACTTTCAGCATTCTCATTTTATAGATGACAAAACTGAGATTAATTAACTTGCTAGAAAGTGGCAGAACCAAGGCCTGAACCCAGGTGGTCTGGATCTAGAACCCATACTTAGAACCGTACTTAGAGCTATTCCATGCTGCCTTCTAAATAGAGCAGCAATTACAATAAATGTAAGTGGCTTAAACTAACCAATTAAAAAAACAGTCTTTCAAATTGAATGAAAACAAGGGATTCAGCAATATGTTTTCTACAAGAAACTTGTTTAAAACAAATAGACACTAAAAGGTTAAAAGGCTTGAAAAGGATACAGCGCAAACATGAACCAAAGAAAGCTCATGTAGTAATTTTAAAACCTGACAAAATAAAAGTTAAGACAGGAAGTTCATAAGGGAGGTCATAAATGTGCCCAACAATACAGCTTTAATATTTATTAAGCAGCAGCTAACAGAAGTTTAGGCAGAAACAGATAAATCAGCATTGTAGTTGGAGATTTCTAACTAGCTCCTCTCAGTAGCCAATAGATCAAGTAGATAGTAGATACTTTCTCTCTCCTCTCCCAACACACGTACACACAGAAAACAAACATGCAAGGTCTGGACAATTTAATAAACTTGAGCCATTGGATATTTACAACTCATATACGTTTCCATCAAACAGTGAATACATGTTCTTTCTCTTTTCAGGTTCATGTGAAACAGTAAAGTAAAAACAAATCATGTATTAGATCTTAAAGGAAGGCTCAATAAATTTCACAGTGCAGTAAAATTAGAAGTAATGAATAACGATATGTGTGGTGGATAGATTTTAAGGCCCCTATGATTTCCACCTCCTGGTGTTTACACCCTTATGTAGTTCCCTTCTTTGGCTATGGATGGGATCTGTACCTTCCAACCAATTACGATGGTTAATTTTATGTATCATTTTGAATAGGTGAGTCATAGGGTATCCAGATATTTGGTCAAACATTATTCTGGGTATTTCTGTGAGTGTGTTTCTGGATGAGATTAGCATTTAAATTGGTGGACTGAGTAAAGCAGCTTTCCCTCCCCAATGTGTGTGCCTCATCCAATCAGTTGAAGGCCTGAATAGAACAAAGGGCTGACTCCATCCCCCTTGTAAGAGGATTCTTCTGCCTGATGGCCTTGGAACTGAGATATTGGCTGTCTGTCTACAGCATCCTACTGGTCTTTGGACTTGAACTGGAACATTGACATTTCCTGGTTCTGCAACAGCTTCCAGCCTTTGGACTTAAATTGGAACACTGGTTTTGGAGATTTTGGACTTGCCAGCCTCCATAATCCCATGAGAGTCAATTCACTTTAATAAATCTCTTTATAATATCTATTTGTCTGTCTGTCTGTCTATCTATCTGTCTGTCTATCTATCTATCTATCTATCTATCTATCTATCTATCATCATCCATCCATCCATCCTATTGGTTCTGCTTCTCTGGAGACCCCTAATACACCAAAAAATATGGTAAATGTGATGGAAAGTCCTTCCCATGATTACATGATGTTAAAAAAGAAAGAGAACCCAGTTAGATTGTGCCCAGACTCCTTACCAACAGAAACTATAAGATAATAAATGTGTGTTGTTTTAAGTCACTACATATGTGGCAATTTTTCATGTATAACAAATAATACAGCAGATGTATTAGTTCATTCTTGCATTACTATAAAGAAATACCCGAGACTGGGTAATTTATAAAGAAAAGAGTTTTAATTGGCTCATGGTTCTGCACACTATACAGGAAGTTTAGTGGCTTCTGCTTCTGGGGAGGCCTCAGGAAACTTACAATCATGGTGGAAGGCAAAGAGGAAGCAGGCATGTCTCACATGACTGGAGCAGGAGAGAGATATGGGGGAGGTGCAACGCAGTTTTAAACAACCTGATCCCACAATAACTCACTATTATGAGAACAGCACTGAGGGGATGGTGCTAACCCATTCATGAGAACTCAGCCCTTATGATCCAATCACCTCCCACCAAGCCCAGCTTTCAATACTGGGGATTATAATTTGACATGAAATTTGGGTGGAGACACAGACCCAAACCATATCAGCAGAACAGCAAAAAAACAAACAAAAACCCACAAACAAACAGAAACCAAAAAAATACCCCCAACTTCATTTGGAAACTAAATAACATCTTACTAGACAACATCCTTGAGTCATAAAGGAAATTAAGAAATATTTAAAATTGAAGGTTAATAAAAATTCTACATGTCAAATTGGGACACAGCTAAAGTGCCAGTTAGATGGAAATGTATGGTTATATCTATCAGGAAACAAAAGGTTAAAAATAAAGTAGCTAAGCATTCAACACAAGAAGCAACGGCATACACGGTGAAACAAGAAGAAAGGCAATACGGGCAGAAATCAGTGACACAGAGAAAAGTAGAGAAGATGAACAAAACAGAAGTCAGTCCCATGGAAAAGATTAAGAAGACCAAACTTTGGCAAGACTGATCAGGAAAAAAGAGAAAAGACTCAAAATAAGACAGAATA